CAATGTGACAGCCTCACCTGGAACCTGGTTAAGAAATTACATCCTAAAACTTAGAATTGAATTTCTGAAGTCCTGCTCCCTGGAAGCTGAGTATATTGTCAAGTCACAGAGTATATACAGTATCGTTTCCAATGACACAGCCTGTGAGGCAGGATGTCTCACACACACACACACACACACAGAGAACAGCGAATCTCTGAATGTGGTGCACATTCAAGTCAGGATTTTTCAGAAATAACTATATAGAGTGGTAATGCCTTGAGAAGCTAAAACGTCTTTATTTTTGACACATTGCTCTTTCAAGACAGTAAAAGCACCTGATGTTCCCAGGGTGTTTCCAGGCTTTCGTTCTCATTTCAGGGAGAAATATCATCACCAGCCACCCTGCACTAGCCCAGACCCTTCCTCAAAAACAATACCTGCCTAGGCAGACGGCTCACAGAGTATTCAAAAATTCGCTTCATTTTGACAAAGATCACTGCCTCGGCAGGGGCTTACTCCCTAGCACCGTAACATGCAACCTGTGTTGCTGCATATTTCTGAACTGTACCTGAGTACACCTGTGCCTACTCCCACACACCAAAACAAGATCATCCCCTCTTACAAATTTATCTCCCCCTAAAATAAAGGACTCCCATTTCCCTAACTCAAGGAGTCAAAATTTGGGGAATTATTCTCCACAGTCTCCTTCTCTGCTGTAATTAACTACTCCTCCTGATACATACCTTAGAGCTCACAGGGAAGCAAGCACACAACTCTGAGCAAGTAACACCCTGGCCTACCCGAGACTAACACACATCCCACCTCTGCTCAAACCACAACCAATAAAAGCTACTCCTATTTTACCCCAAAATCCAGGCAAGAGACTTACGAACTAAATTGCACTAGCTGTCTTACCAGCTGCTTTGTTTGACCTTTGCCCTATATGAACTGAAATGACTTTCTTGAGAAGAAATTTCCACACTTGGCTCTTTGGCCGTCTGACTCAATTGCAGCACTCAATATCAAACTCAGCTATGTGTTACATAAAGGGCATACTTATTTTCTCTGTTCAGCAACACAATTTACATCAATATTCAGCATGACCAGCTCATTATTCCAGGGAGTCCTTCAAGACCCTTCCTCTGTCAGCTCATTTTAAAGTTCAGTCCAATTTATGAAAAAAGAAAAAAGAAACCTCTGGCAATTACCCATAATTGAACAATTCACATATGGATCATCAAAGGCTGGCTACATTTTAAGGTGCAATTTTACAATTAAATTTAAACTCAGAAAGGCATCTACTTCTTAATTTTTCTAATCTTACAACATTTAAAATGGCTAGATTACAAAAATACTATGATAAAAGGGTCACCTTGGCAGAGAGAATCAAAAATTTTTATCTTTATTTTCCAATTAGATGATTATTAATACCTTTCCACAAGGCATTGCTTATTTCCTCATACACATGAAGTCACTTAACGTATACACTCGTTTGAGCTAGACTTTATTATCCCTGCCTACAGATGCAAATGCTACATAAGCACCAGTGAAACAGAAGTTTCAAATTTTGTCAGACCATCAACAAGTTCATATCATTCTATGTAACTCCCTGAAGTGCAGAGTGGCTACATGAAATTAATACAGAAAACTCAGGCTGGGGCCTGGTGCGATGGCTCAATGGTTAGATCCTCACCTTGCACATGCCAGGATGCCATATGGACACCAGTTCATGTCCCAGTTGCTCCACTTCCTGCCCAGCTCTCTGCTTGTGGCCTGGGAAAGCAGTGGAGGATGGCCCAAAACTTTGGGACCCTGCACCCATATGCGAGACCTGAAAGAAGCCTCGAGTTCCTGGCTTCAGATCTGCTCAGCTCTGGCCTTTGCAGCCATTTGGGGAGTGAACCAGCAGAAGGTAGATCATTCTCTCTGCATCTCCTTCTCTTTCTGTAAATCTGCCTTTCTGATAAAAATCAGCAAATCCTTATTAAAAGAGAAAAAAAGTTCAGTTTTCCAGGCTAGTGCTATGGCTCAGCGAGTTCACCCACCATCTCCATCAGCCGCATCCCACATGTGTACCTATTCAAGTCAAAGTTGTACCACTCCCTGGGAAAGCAAGGTTAGATGGCTTGAGTTCCTGGGCTCCTGCCACCCCTATGGGAGACGCTGGTGGTGTTATCAGGCTTTTGGCTTCAGCCTGGACTAGCCTGGCTTTTACACATTTGAAGAATGAACTGCTGAAAGGAACATCTTTGTCTTTCTCTGTAACTCTGCTTTTCAACTTAAAAAAAAAAATGTTCAAAACCAAATCAAACTTGAAATTCTTCAATACTGCTAACTCAGGTCCTTTAACACCTGCAGAATACTGTTATTCAGTATTACTGGAGTTCTTCAACTCCTCTAGTACTGTCTTCCTGTAGATAAAAGCTTTCTACCCTATCTCTTAATTCAATACACTTAGACTGAAGAACAGGACTATCTCGGCCCTATTCAGCTACCCAATAAATTTATATGAAGCGTATTAAATAACAGCCAAGAATGTGGCCCTTCTTAGCTTTTGCTAAACCTTTACCTGGCCTTGCAGAAAATATTTTTGAACTTTACAATTTATTACCTAATTACAATAAGGATGGTTTAATCAATTAATTAATTAATTTACCCCAAGTCAAAATTTAAATTATGTTTATCTGTCATCTAAATGTCACAGCATATAACCATTTCATACAACCCTGAAAAACTGCAAAATTGTGCTGTTTACAGCTGTGAGGACATTTACATCTGACTTACAAAAAATATCCGATTTAACATCAAATGCTTTTTCCTTCCAAACTTCAGCTACAAAGTAAATTAGGAGAGCCCTTCATTGGAATGAAAAATATTAGGAAATTAACTATGCTCCAGTAACTTTTTGAGAAACACAAAAGAAAAAAAGGAGTTTTAATAATGTTTTTACACTGCAGGTTCCATGGTCTGCCATGGAGTGCAAGCCAGGTTTTGGCAGTGAAAATGTGGGCAAACAGAAAGGCTAAGGTGGACTACGTCAGTCAGTGGATTCATTGTGCTGAGAATGGCGAGACTGGCAGCAGTTCATAACTGCTGAATTATCAAAACTGCTTGAGCAGGACCCTCCGAGCATGCCCCACATCAGGGACCTGGGATGGTTGGAAGGCTAGGTGGGGCTTCTCCCTTTATCTCCCCCTTCACGCCAGATACAGGAAAAAAAAAAAGCAATAATGTGGAAACAGTACTCTTACCCACTTTCTTGTAGCCCTTGACCCTTTGTGCCCTAATCAACTATGTAAAGATTGCAAAAATAAAGAAAAAATAACAATAATTTTTTGCACTGAAGTTAATTCATTCATGTAGAAAAAAATGCCAGTATATATGCTCATGACAACAAAGAAAATGAAAGAAAGAAAACTTTATAATTTGAAGTAATGAAAATTTCCATAAGGCAAAAGAGGTTCCAATGTAAATCAATGAGAATGCAGTGAAGAAACAACTCCAGTTAGGGACTGAGTAGTTTTAAAACTGTTATTCTTAGACTTGATAAGGGGATTTTCCTGTTAACTAGAGAATAAATTAAGAACAATCAAATTTTTCTTTCCATTTTTTCTAAAATTTTATTTTTAAGTTATAAAACATTTTATTGCTTTATTAATATAAGAATGAAAATATTAAAACTTACAGATATCATTTAAAGTCTAAGTGCAACCATTATGATAAATGTATGTATTATATATGAACACAGATATTTATAAATTCCTGATAATCGAAATGTGGTTAAGTACCCAAGCGCACATCCAAAAGGTCTTTTCTAAATTTAAACCTAGTGATTAAAAATAGTTAACAAGCTAAAGCTGAATCTATGTTTTCAATTCCAGTTAACGTCAGCTAATCTGAGTTTCATTTAATCATTCTACAAGTACTAATCAACTACCTCCTGTGTGTTAGCTAACAAGGTTATAATACAGAGAAATAAACAGAGTTCCTGCCATTTCTTTTCTAAACTCTAACATTTTTCCAGAACCTTACAGTACTGACATTTATTGATAAAAATATTTCCCAAAATATTCATTTGGAATCAACAGGTCCTAAAATCAATAATATTCCAAAGAGTTCTAATAACAGAGAGAGCTATCTGGCACAGAAAAACAACAGCAAAAATGAAATAGACTTAATCTATTTCAGTAATCGTAAATCACACTGCCAAAAAATATGGAATCTAATGTTCTTAACGTAATGTCCAAAGCATTTTTCCTTTAATCTGTTCGTGACTGCCTTATTGTATTAAAGAACGGATTTTATGTGCTTTGATAGAATCTTGCTTTATCAAACCAAAATATGTCCAGGCAGCAGTATTCAAATATGTCTCTTAAAAATGCAGAGATTTTTTTAGCCAACAATTGCGATTCTCCCCAAATAGTCAAAGGTCTAAAAAAAAAAAATACAGTAACTGGGAAACTGGGAAACACAGATGTCCTATTATGTGACCTTTCACACTCCTCGGGTGTAGCCTAATAATAACTGCAGCACAGATAAATAAATCACATATTTATTCACATGCATAATTTCATCAGAAACGTTTCTATTGACTTAAGTTCATTAAAATTTGAAGGCAAGAAAACTAAAACCGTTCACATGAAGGGAGAGAACAGGGAAAGACTCTACCGGGCTTCTTGGTGTGGTAATGATGGCACTATTCCATGGGTACGCCTAGGATGGATACACTGTGAAACTTACCAATTAGGCTGTATTACAAAGCTCATGTAATTCTAGTCTCTAAAAGCATCTATGTATATAAAACTACTGCCTACTGTCTAGTTATTATATCATCCACCATTTTATTCACTGAGAGCTACTTTTCACTTTTCAAGGAACAATTGAGAATTTAACACCTCATCTTTGGGATTCAACTTTAAGTCGCTAAGTATTTTAATCACCACTTCTTCAGATAACTTTGAGTTAATCCAATCATTAAAAACAAAATAAAATTTGACTGCTTCTATATGTTTTTATACCTGGTAATCCAAAATGCTGAATCCCAAACCTTTGTGATCTTTCAACAGCTCTACAATCTTGACTTCAGTAGACCATAGTGCTAATTCACCATCATCATCCTCTTCAACATTGACATCTGTATTGTGGTCAACCTAAAACACCAAAGAAGATAAATGCTTCAAAACAACATCTTTCAATTCTGAAAAGAATGAACATTTATCAGGAGTCTCACAGCCTCCTTTCAAACTGAGAATTCACTTCCCATGCATAGTTTTCAGTTTTAATCTTTTTAAAAGGGGCATGCACTAGGGCGCACACACACTTTAGAGTAACACCTCATGAAAATTCAAACACAAATGCAGATTGCTCAGACAGATTTCTTTAAAAAAATGTAAAGTACCCACTTCATTCAACGTATTAACACTGACCTCTTATACTTCAATGAGTTCTGTCATCCCATTAGAAGCATAAAAGGAAAAATATACAATTTCAGTAAAAATGAAACGCCATAGAAAGTAGAACCATAAAGGATGCTTAAGCAGGAAATACTTGCATTCATAATTACAGAGACAGAAAGAAAAATGCCTAAACAAAGACCAGATTAGAAGAGAGATCCTTTCTATTGGCTCATGGAGGTTTCGAAGAAAAGCTTTACCCCTACGCCGTCAAAAAAATGGGGAAAAAGTCAATGGCCACCAATAATTATGAAAACACATAAAAACCAGGCCTGGTGCAGCTAGGTCCTCACCTTGCACATGCCATGATCCCATATGGGCGCTGGTTCTAGTCCTGGCAGCCCCACTTCCTATCCAGCTCCCTAACTGTAGCCTAGGAAAGCAATTGAGGACGGCCCAAAGCCTTGGGATCCTGCACTGGCATGGGAGACCTGAAAGAAATTCCTGGCTCCTGGCTTCAGATCAGTGCAGCACCAGCCATTGCAGTCACTTGGGGAGTAAATCAATGGATGGAAGTTCTTCCTCTCTGTCTCTCCTCCTCTCTGTATATCTGACTTTCCAATAAACACATAAATAAATAAATAAAACTTTAAAAAACAGATAAAAACTATTATACTGAAGCAATGAAATTGCAGCACTGCGAAAACAGGTCAGCAAGACTGACCAGCTCGACAGCCTTAGCTACTTTCCTTATTTCCAACCACAAAGATCCTTTCCTTGCATACTCCCTCTAGTCCCGTCACAAAGAAGAGCAACTGATAAACAGACTCACAGGACACTCAACAACATGACAGCTATTTCAAAAAACAAAATGAAACTTTTACACTGTTTTTAACAATGTATTGTTTTTCTATGATTTATTTTATCCTCTCCCGAATATCCTAAATATCTATCTGAAGCTCAAGAATTCTTTTCTTTGTAGTTTTTCTTTTTTTTTTTTTTTTTGATTTGTTTATTTTATTGGCCAGATTTGCAGAGAAAAGGAGAGACACAGAGAAGGATCTTCCGTCTGCTAGCTCACTTTCCAACCGGCCGCAGAACTGCGCCAATTTGAAGCCACAGGAGCCAAAAGCCTTTCAGGTCTCATATGTGGGTGCAGGGTACCAAGACTTTGGGCTCTCCTCCACTGCTTTCCCTGGCCAGAGTCAGGGAGCTGTATGGGAAGTGGAGCAGCTGGAACACAAACTGGTGCCCCTTTGGGATCAAGGAGCACGCAAGGCAAGGACTTTAGCCAGTAGGCCACCGTGTTGGGCCCTATTTATAGTCTTTTAAAAAATTCATGAGAGCCTGGTGACATGGCATAACGGCTAAAGTCCTCACCTTGAAAGCCCAGGATCCCATATGGGTGCTGGTTCTAATCCCAGCAGCTCCACTTTCTATCCAGCTCCCTGCTTATGGCCTGGGAAAGCTGTCGAGGATGGCCCAAAGCCTTGGGACTCTGTACCCCTGTGGAAGACCTAGAAGAAGCTCCTGGCTCCTGGCTTTGGATCGGCGCAGCACCGGCAGTTGCACTCACTTGAGGAGTAAATCATTGGCCGGAAGATCTTCCTCTCTGTCTCTCCTTCTCTCTGTATATCTGCCTTTCCAATAAAAATAAAATAAATCCTTTTAAAAAATTAATGAAAGATACAAATGATATAAAAACTTTGTATGAATGTCCAGCTTTTTTTTTTTATAAAATTACTTTTTTAATATAAAGATTTACTGATTTATTTGACAGGTAAAGTGACAGAGAGAAGGGAGTGGAGAGACAGAGAGAAAAAGAGATCTTCCACCTTCTAATGCCCAACTCAAACAGTCGCAATAGCTGGGGTCGGGCAATGCTGATGTCAGGAACCCAGAACTCTACCTGCGTTTCCCACGTAAGTGGCAGGGGCGAGCAGAAGGGGCCCAAGCTCCTGGGCCTTCCCCCACTGTTTTCCCAGGCACATTAGCTGGGAGCTGGACAGAAAACAGCAAATGGAACTGAAGCAGTTGCTCTCACATGACAGCACAAGTGGCAGCTCACCAATTTGTATCTCAACAATGGTCACACATTTTTATCTTTTTATTTCATTTTCTGTGAGCTTTCTGACGTTCCCTCATAAAGTTTCAACAGCCAAAAAAAACTATACCTGATTTCTAGGGTGTAATGGCGTAGAAACTCAAATTATGTAGTATCTTGCTTATTCAATTAATAATTGTTCACTGCACTAATGTGTCATTTACCTGTGTTTATTAAGAAGAAATTTCAGGAGAAAAATAAAGCTACAGACTTGTTATGGATTTCTTTTGGCCTGTCTCCCCCGCAAAAATCATAGAGATGTTTAGGGTCCAATGAGCAATGGATGGAGGTAATGCCTGGATTGTACTGTGCTGGCCAGGCAGTGGGGTTTGCGGGTGGTCACTAGACGCCTGGAGACACGCCCTCAGGGTCATCAGGGCCTGTCAATAGGCCTGATTACTTGAGTTCAGGTTCTGAGAGACAGTTCTCTCGGCTTCCTGGCCCACAATGTGGTCACTACTCAACAACCGCCATGGTGAGCTTCCACCAGCCAGAGGCTGCATTGCTCGGAACCCTAACCTCCAAACCATAGGCTGAAATCTTTTCTGTCCCAAAAAACTCCCCTTGGGCATTTCAGATGAAAAAAGCAGTAATATGCAAAACTAAACAGTTCTTTCGTTTAGAACTTGTCTTTTCATTTTGAAATTTTATCAACACAACTTGAACATAAATTCAGATAACATGTGGGATGAAAAGAACAGAAATTAAGAGTTAGTGTGTACCTAAGGCAGGGATCCTTTCAGAAATTTCAAACTAAATTCTTCTGGAACCCCAAAGAACTCAACTGTCCAGCTCATTAGGACTTGCTGTCCATCTATTCTTCACCCAATTAAATGCTAAGAAGTCTGAGTTGGTAAAAGAATCTTATAAACTGGTGGCTAGATCCTGGACATCTTATACATATTCAGCTAGCCATACTTTAGCCTTGCCAGCCGAGAAAGAGCCCTCGCGTCTGGAACTTGAAGCAGTTACAAGCAGTACTACTTAATCATCGACACTAGTAAGCAAACAACAAGAAAATCTATCTTGAAGCTTCTTCACAACTATGAAGAAGGCCTGAATGAAGCTCCAGGCTCCTGGCTTCAAATCACCCCAACTCAGGGTACTTGCAGCCATTTGGGGAGTGAACCAGCAGATGCAAGATTTCTGTTTCTCTCTGTAAATCTGCCTTTCAGTTAAAAGAAATAAACCTTTAAAAAAATTTTATCTTTTAATTAAAAGCAAAGTTTCAATGACTAGTAAAATACTAGTTCTGACTGATGTTCTTCTAAAGAATTAAATACACTGATTAATTAGTGTTACAAATTTTGGTTGCGTTGCCTAAACAGACAGGGTATAGGAACATAAAATGGTATCAGAATAAACAAAAAAGAGACAGATGGAAAAGAGAGCCAGGGCTTTAAGAATCCACATACAATTATTAAACTCAGGTTTATAGAAATTTCAATCCATCCACATTGCATAAGATATTAGATTCCAACCTGAAATATATCACTTTGATGCAATCAATTCTACATAACTCCTGTTTGTACAGAATGGAAAGCAATCAACTAATGGGCAGCAAGGCTGACACTGAGCATAATTCAGAGCTGCTGTTTCCCATTGTGGTAACGCATGACTGATGGGAGCACAGAGTCAGCAGTCCCGGCTGGTGATTTACACACCCTGTGAGATCCGATTAAAGGGATTTTTATCAACCCTCAGAAAAAAGCCACCGTCCACATTCCACTTTTGTAAGGATAGTCACAAAATGTGGCATTTGCTACCTTCCCTTGAAATGTAACTGTACAAAAGCTAAATACTAAAAAAGTCTGTCAATCACGGATCAAAATGGATTAATCCTTTGTTATAAGCCCACTATGATAAAGAAAATAATTTAAAGATACAGTCTCAGACCCAAAGGAGCTGACAGACTTGCTGGACAGACAAGTAGGTAGGCTGAAGTTTCTGTGACTGGACTCGCCAGTGCCTTAACCAATCAGAAAGCAAGCGCAAGTGTTCACCGAGAACTCCTCGCATGCAGGCATCACGCAGAGAACCCTGCACACATCTCTCCATCTCTTCTCACAAAAACTCACGAGGTGCTTCAGTGAGAGAAGTGTCACCATTTTTCAGAGGACAAAATGAAAAGAAAGTCAAATGACTTGCTCCGCAATTCACACATCTTAGAGGAATGCTCAGTGTCCAAACATCCTGAAATCTAGAATTGAGGTAAAAGGGAAGATCCCAGGGACCTACATGGGATTTAATGGAATTATAATTGAAAAGTTATCATCTAAAAGAGAAGACATTTGGCACAACAGTTAAGATGCCTCTTGTGATGACCACATTCTGTATCATAGTGTTTGGCTGGTTTTTTTTTCCCCTAAATATTTATAAGACTCTGAAAAATGGAAGTCCATTAGATGTTGCACACAGCAACATCTTAAACGTATTAAAATGAACTGAGTTGAACTAGAAGCCAACAGTACAAGTCCAAGCAATCACTGAAAACAGAAACAAACCAAAAAAAGGTTCCTTAAAATCAAAATGCATGCATGTCAATGTTGTTAGTGTTGCAAAGACAGGTCAGTTTTATGTCATTAAATGAAAAGTGACAATCTGGGGCCCGGCACGGTGGCGCAAGTGGTTGGGGTCCTCGCCTTGCACGCCCGGGAACCCATATGGACGCCGGTTCTATCCCGGCAGTCCCGCTTCCCTTCCAGCTCCCTGCCTGTGGCCCGGGAAGGCAGTCGAGGACGGCCCAAAGCTTTGGGACCCTGCACCCATATGGGAGACCCGGAAGAGGTTCCTGGCTTCGGATCGGCATAGCATTGGCCGTTGCGCTCACTTGGGGAGTGAATCATCAGAAGGAGGATCTTCCTCTCTGTCTCTCCTCTCTGTATATCCGCCTTTCCGATAAAAAAAATAATAAAAATAAATCTTTAAAAAAAAAAAAAGAAAAGTGACAATCTGACAAGTGTGCATTGTTCCCTTAGTTCAAAAAAAAAAGCCAGATGGGATCATTTCTCACATCCTTGCCACTCTTCAAGGAACCCTGAGGAAAGTGTATGCTAGGATGGGGCTGTGGCAAAACACATTAAGCCACTGCCTGCAGCACTGGCATGCCATACAGGCATTGGTTCGAGTCCCAGCTGTTCCACTTCCAACCCAGCTCCCAATTAACGTGCCAGGGGAAAGGAGCAGAAGATGGTCCAAGTCCCTAGGTTCCTGCCACCCACAAGTCTACTGATGCCTCTTGGCTTCAGCCTGGCCCTGCCCTGACTGCTGTGGCCATCTAGAGTGAACTACTGGATGGAGAATCTGTCATACCTTCTCCTGAAATTCTAACCTGCAGATAAATGAATCTAAACACAAACCAACCCTACAAGTATGCCTCGGGGAAGCACACTGCATTCACTTGTACCTCCTTCTCAGAAGGGCAGGATACACTGGTCCTCGGCTCATCCACTGAGGCCTCATCGTCAAACAATCGCCGACAGCAAACCAAGGTAAAAGGAGGTGGCACTTCTTTAAGAAAGGAAACAGCCTCTCGGCGAGATTTTCCATAGAGCTGCACGCCATTGACCTAGAGACAAAGGTTAAGTCAGAATTGAGAGGATGCTAAGTGAAAAAAGAAGTTTCTTGCTTAATCCACCCAATGAAATATGGTATCATTTTATGCTCCTTCTAAACAAAGACTTTAAATTTCAACATATTAACAGTAACCAGAAATGCAATGCTTAAAATTTATAAAAATTTAGGTGAAATATTTAGTCAACCCAAGTGCATGAAGTAGAAAGTGTGTGCCTAGCACAACTATCACTCTCCAAGTTTTCTATCTACTTGCTCACATTTCTACACCTATTCCTTTTGATACCTTAAACGTGGTCTCACCTACTACTATCCTACATGTTCTGAGGGATATACATATCAAGTGTGTGCAGGAAGTTGGCCTTCAAATTATTTTATCCAAGTATCCCTATGGTAACTATTCCTTATTAATGATTGTTAGTAGCAAAAATTTTTTCTAAATTTCATATGATTTGACTGTAAAACTACAGTTTGCACCCAAAGCCCTAGAGAACGTCTCAGAATTTTTCATCTACATGACTTCAGCTGAGAGTTTTCTCCCTTCTAGGTTAAGCTCACTAAAATCTGATCCCCCTGTTTCTTTCAAGAAGCTGAAGCATGAATTCCACGTATAGAACAAACTTTTAGGAAGCTGAGGCATGAATACCACATAGACAACAAACTTTTTACATCTGACTTCTACCTTCCTGGGAAGGTGTGATGGCATTACCTGTTTCAAAAAGATTTCTAGTTTGGCATTACTTTCAGATAATTGGCAGGCTCGACTTTATTGGGAATGGTAACTGCATTTATCTGTCACTGCACCAGAGAGTAGGAGGACACGGGATTGCTTGAAGCATCCCATCCACAGTAGGCTGAGCCAACAGTCCCTGGGAACCACTCCCAAGTCTGTAACATCAGGTTAGACACATCTCCCGGCCTCTTAATTATTGACAAAGAAACCACCACATGGTGGAGACCCACTAGCAATTCATGTAACTAGCTCTACTTGAGAAGTGAATATCACCTTCCACGTGTCTTTAGCACTGATGAAAGGAACAGGAGGAAATCAAGTTCAGCAGTATACAAAAGGTTTTAGCTTGAAAAAAAAACTGCAAGAAAGGATGACGAGGTACCTGTTACTGATCATGCTACATGGACAGTGCCAACGGACACCACAGCACAGAAAAGTTCTGAAATCAACTAACCAGCTACTAAACTACACCAAGAAAAGGCCAGTAGATACAATTAAAGCAGGAGTTCTACCCCAACGTGAGTATTTGCTTGTGTTTCACTTCAACAAATTAGAAAGTCACTTTCAGGTTTTTATCTTGAAGTACCTTTAAATATTTATTTAGCTTATTATTTATTCATTGAATTGTCTCCAATTATTATAGCAGTGCCTGGTAGTCCTCCCTACTACTCTCTATCACAGAAGGGATTGGTCACATTTCCCATTACCAACCCCTATCTAAGGGGATTTGTGGCTGCTGTAAATAGCTCTTCTGGGCTGACTTGGCACAGTGTTCTAACCCCAAAGCATATTTGTGTATCTGGTTTTAAGCTCTATGGAGTACAATAAACATACATGCACATACACTTACAGGTTACTTAGTCAACTTTACAGAGATTTAAAAATTTTCTATATTTGATCACTGAAAAGTCAATTTTATTTTATTTTAGAGTTCATGACAGTTCTCAAGGTCCTTCAATTTGAGAAGTGCTCTCAAGCTTCCATTTACCCAGACCTATTGATCAGCAAACACACATGCGTACATGCTTCCAAAATTCAGACGATTGCAAAACACAGCATTAGAAAGCTCTGCCCCACTGTAATAACACATTCAAACTGCAGTCCAGCTGTAAAGCTTGTCAATACGCCTTCTTCATACCAAGAATGTGACCAATACTTAATAGGGACACCATGTCATGGGGCGCTCACAAACACACAGTATGAATAGAGATAAAGAAAGTGATCCTCAAAAAAATTGAACATGCAAAAAAACACTTAGTTCAACTGTGGAAAATTCCAAACTCAGACAAGATGTTCTGACTTTTAAAACCTGGCCTTCTTGCCTTGCAAGTTTCTCCCCCAGAAATCTACATTTCAGAAATAAAAAAAATCTTCATATTTCCTAATAAATGACATTCTGTTTGAAGACATGAAATTTGAATCTTGGCTAAAGTACAGAGAATGGAGCTGATGGCTGAGATCACCTCTACTTGTGACCCAACCTACCACAACACTGGCAAACATTTAATGCCATCGAGTCTCACACTTACAAATAGTTTTTATGATAAGTTTCATGTAATGTTTACTTTACCACCAAATACCTTCACACCTCCAGAACATATCACATTTCTCAATATCTAGTAGTTAGGTGCAACAGTGATAGTCTCCAACCCACAGGGAACCATGTATGACAGCTACAGAAATATTCCCCAAGAACTGCCAATCAAAAGAAAAGGCATGGCCTCATCAATACAAGGGAGCAGAGGTCAACAGGTAAAACCTGCAATAAGCTGCCCCTGAACACTTCTGCTGATATATGCTACATCTTGAAAGAGGACCTCCACATCCAGGGATTCTGCGCTTATAGCAGAATTTCAATTGTAAGTCACAGAATTTTTACCTTGTGAGCTTGAAATTTGGGTCAGAATTATCCACACACTCCTCTAGGTGCCTGGACAATATCAACACGTTGCATTTGCAACTACATGAATCCTACATGCTGTCCTTTTATTTAACTTCAAACAGATTTTTAATTTTTTTAAAATTTTTATTGGAAAGTCAAATATACAGAGAGGAGAGACAGAAAGATTTTCTGTCCATTGATTCACTCCCCAAGTGGCCACAGCGGCCAGAGCTGAGCTGATCTGAAGCCAGGAGCCAGGAGCCTCTTCTGATTCTCCCATGTGGGTGCAGGGCCCTAAGGCATTGGCCCATCCTCGACAGCTTTTCCAGGCCAAAAGCAGGGAGCTGGATGGGAAGTGAGGCTGCTGGGACGTGAACTGGCACCCTTACAGGATCCCGAAGTGTGCAATTAAGAACTTTAGCCGCCAGGCTACAGCTCCAAGTCCAACAAACATAGGGGCTTTTTTTCTTTCTCTTTTATTTTTTGGGTTTTGTTTTTTTTCAAACACAGATTTTTTTGTAAGAGAAGTCTACAAACTCATGATCAAAGGAATTCTATTTTGATTAAGGCTACTAGGTTGAATTTATTAAATTTAACCTAGAGCTTCTTCTGGATTCAGATTTTGCTTGTAAGCAGTCTTCATTTTTGACTATTTTCTACATGTCTTTTAGGAGCTTAAGAGACAATGTGGTTAAAGAGTTAGGAAACACAAACTAAAGTTTATATTCTATCACTCTGAATTAGTGTAACAAGTTGAAGAAGTCAGGATCTTATTTTCTGATCCACAAAATCAGAGGTTTCAATGTTATTTTGTTAACTTGCTGTGCTACCTACAGAACTTTCACTTCAATTTAATTTAATCCCCTAAGAAAGTTGCTCTTTTTCTTTTTTTAAAAAGTTTTGTTTGTTTTTATTGCAAATTCAGATATATAGAGGAGGAGAGACAGAGAGAGAAATATCTTCCATGCAATGATTCACTCCCCAAGTGAATTGCAATGGCTGGTGCTTTGCCGATCTGAAGCCAGGAGCTCTTGCCGGGTTTCCCATGTGAGTGCAGGGTACCAAGGCTTTGGGCCATCTTTGACTACTTTCCCAGTCCACAGACAGGGAGCTGGATGGGAAGCAGGGCTGCCGGGATTAGAACTGGTGCCCATATGGGATGCTGGCACATTCAAGGCGAGGACTTCAGCCACTAGGCCACGGCGCCGGGCCTGGAAAGTTGTTCTTAAAGCTGATGTGCTCTAGTGCTGCTCTGCCTGAACAATGGTTGCAGAGCTATTCAGCTCCAGGCTCAGCAGCAATAATCAACACACTAAAAATCACCAGCGCTACATGTTGCAACCGTCAGACAGAGCAGTATGTTGGTGTAGTGGTTTAGACATGGTTCCGACAAGGTACAGACATGGCCTGGGACCCCTGCACCCCACATCAGAGTGCTTCGACTGCAGCCCAGCTCCAACCCTGACTCCAGCTTCTTACTGATGCACAACTTGGCAGGAAGCAGGTGATGTTTGTAGCTGGGTTCTTGCTATCCACCTAAGAAACTGGGATGAAGTTTTTGACTGTCAGGTATCTAGGGAGATAAATAGCAGATAAGAGTGTTCTCACTATCTCTCAAATAAGTAAATAAAAATAGTTCTTGGGCCTTGCTAGTAGCCTAGTGGCTAAAGCACCTGGATCCCATGTGGGCACTGGTTCATATCCCAGCTGCACCATTTCCCATACCACTCCTTGCTTATGGCCTGGGAAAGCAGTGGAGGATGGCCCAAAGCCTTGGGACCCTGCACCCGTGCAGCAGACCCAGAAGAAGTTCCAGGCTCCTGGCTTCAGATCACCTCAATTCCAGTAATTGCAGCCACTTCAGGATTAAACCAGCAAATGGAAGATCTATATCTCTCCTTCTCTCTGTAAATCTGACTTTTCAATACTAAGTAAATAAATAACTCTTCAAAAAAGAAAATACAAATTATTCTTAATGGGCCGTTGCCATGGCACAGTAGGTAACATGCAGTACCAGCATACCCTGCTGGCTTTGGTTCATATCCCGGCTGTTACATATCCTGATCCAGTTCCCTGCTTGTGGCCTAGGAAAGCAGCTCTTGGAGGCCCAAGCCCTTGGGACCCTGCACCCACATGAGGGCCTTGAGGAAGCTCCTGGCTTTGCTCCAGTTGATGCAGCCATTTGCAGAACAAGCCAGCAGATGGAAGCTCACTCTTTCGGTTATTCTGCCTTTCAAATAAATAACAACAAAAGACACTACAAGTATTAATTATGTTTTCAAGCTTCTTCCTTAATTATTCAATTAAACATTCAAAAGTCATCACAGGAGCACCAATGGAATGGGGAAACGGACTGAAAACATCATATCTATTTCTTTCATCATCCAATTGGCTTTTCAGTATCTTTCAGTCTACTGGCTTGTATCACACTGGCACTGATAATAATGTAAGCAGTACATTTCTGGTGAGAACACCTTTTCCTACCGTTTCAACATGCATGCCTCTGTCTTCCTTCCACCTATGAATTTTACCTCAAGCAGCTCATCCTCTGGCTGTAGGAGACTCAGGGTATCTACAGGACCACCAGGAACAATTGAAGAGATGTAATGGTGCCCATCGAATGAATCCACTTCCACGCCAAGCCTCAGAGTGTGAATAGGCAAAAGCTGTAACAGAAATACAGAGCAGCATAACCACATATAAGGACACATCGGACCATACATGATAAGGACACAACAAACTGTCAATCTTCCTTCAACTCTTACTGTCACAGGAAACCTCCCTACCCCCTTGTATCATATCACCAAAATCCCTAAAGACAAAAAATAATGGGAAACCTAGCCTCAAATAAACTATGCAGCCATTGATCATCTTGGTCTCATTGCTCCTTTCCCTTGAGGTTCCTGGGAATGGAGAAACAGATCTGCAAAGTCCTGTTTTTGATTCTAAGATACAGGATCTCCTACTCACTGTATTCCAGTAGGAATGCAATCATCCCCCAGAGCATCCCATTTGCCCTGATTTTCAAATTAAATTACACTTCAATACCAAGGCAGTGTCATTTCCAGGAAGCCCTGACTCTGAGTGAATGTACCTCAATCTAGGACCCAAGACCATCTGTGCACATCTGTGTCACAGCTAGCAACATATTGTTTTTAGAATGTTATTTTCGTGATTGTTCTCTCCCTTTAAATAAATTCCACTCCTCTTGGAATGCAAAATCTTAACTTTCAATATATAAGCTCACCCCTTGAAACAGTATCATGCACTACACGTGAACTTACTAATTGTTATTTGAACTAATCTGTGAGGATGATACCTCACCCAAAATGTTCTTTTCCATCTCGTCAACTTCAGAGAGAACATCTCTGATTTTGGAGAAAGCAATCACTGTCCATTCCAGGATAGGAAATACTGGCTTAGGAAGAATTGTATGAGTTATGAAATGAGTCATGGATTGAGAAACTTTAGAAAATGTCAGAATAAAAACAATGAAAGTCTTAGTTGTCCTTAACTTTGTTAAGCGAAAATTTCTAGGCCATTCACCAAACTCCTTTCACCCAGGCTTTCTAAAACAGACCTAATGACCTCTTATTGCAGCTATATAAATATATATATAGTAAATGTTACTAAATAGGATTTGTATTTCCTATATTAATAGTTAAGCGAAAAATACCAAAACATATGTTTTTGGTGCAGCAGTTAAGATGCAGCTTAGTGTACCTGCATCCTATTATCAGGCTGCCTGGATTCAAATCCTTTCTGCACTCTGCTCCCAACTTGTTTCCTATTATTGAACACTGTAAGAGGCAGCAGACATTATATCAAGTACTAGGGTCCATGCCAACCATGTGGGAAACCCAGATTGAGCTCTGGGCCTCAGATGTTATGGGCATTTGGGGAGCAAGCCAGCATATACAGATCCCTGTCTCTGTCTTTTGAATACTTAAAATGATGAGAATATAAAAGCACCAAGGCCACCTCTAACTATATTTGATACAAGAAAAGCCTACACAGGGTAGTAACCATCCATACAGAGATGCCTCCTCTCCTGGTTCCCAACACATGACCTTTCATCCCTAAGTGATAACCACCTCTCAATCATCTATTCTGAGCCTCCAGAGTTCCTAGGCCTTGCTTGTATCTCACACAGCACATAGACAAATGTGAAGTGGCAAGGAGTCCAGCTGACCAATACCTCAATGATTTAAAATAGTCATGAGGGACTTATGGCCTCAGGTGAATTTCTGAAAATTAAGTGCTGCTGACCACCAAGCATATCAGAATCTACAACTATCTCCAACAAAATTATGTTGTAACACTGAGTGGATGGGTAAGATTGTTATTACTCCCCTCTCTGTGATTTTATTTCTCACCACCTCATTCTTTATTCTGATCACTACACAGAATCATTTATACCAAGATCGAAGGAGCCATTAATGTCATTTGCTTTACTAGTACATCTAATGGAGGCCAATAAAAACGCTAAGAGAAATGTTGCTGTAATAACAGTTTACCCACCCATTTATGCCAACTACTTCCCTTACTTGTTTATGACCCTGTAGAGCAGAGGTAGTTGTCAGTAGATTCACTCATACCTCTTGTCCAGTGGGTAGCTGGAGTTTGTTGCACTACTTTGTCTGTACAAATTGTTTTAATTTTTAAAAATTTTACAAATCATTAAAAATTAAAGTATATGCATTTACTATTAAATAATAGTAAATAAATAATATCCAAGACATGTAAAATGTGCTTGAAAACCATCACTTTCTAGTTATTTGTTACTACATTTTTATATTCTTGAAGTAACTGACATCCATACGATGCAAATATTCTCCAAGACTTTAGGCAATTTAGAAGGGTTGTACAAACAAAAGAAGGATGAAATGGTGATCTGTTTATCTGTTATCTGCATATATGCCTGCTCCTGTGGAGGAGCCTATAACAATGATGAATTACTGCATGTTTCTTCCCAGCTCAGCAATACGTGATGCCATGTTAGTAGTTTGTAATCTGACATAGTAGCAATATTCACACCAGATACTAGATTATCCCATAAACTGGTCTTTGTTTTCTCTTGCAAACAAGACCATTTACCAGAATATCACTTATCTACACTCAAGCTTGAACACGCTGTACAGCATATACATATATAATATATGTACAATATATATAATCGATAGATTATATAGATATCATATAGATATAGATTCAGATACATATACAGAGATAGATAGATATAGATATAGATATATAGATATAGATATAGAGTGTATGTAGACTATACGTAAGACATCAAATCAGGAACTGGAAACACAGGATGTACAAAGGAACATCCTGCCCTCGTGGAGGTAAGTTAGTGTGGCAGACAAGAAAGATCAAACAAGAAGATGGGAAGAAAGACACAGTAAACAAACAACAAGCCAACATGAAACAGGTATATTATGATCCTAATATGCCAAGTGAAGGAAAGAGAAATGTACCCAAGGAAATGGGATTATCATGTTCAAAAAAAAAAAAAAAACCCTGAGTAGTTACTGACTGTGGAGGCACTGAAAGGAAATAAATCATGATATAAGAGTAAAGCAAGTGAAAGTGGGTCAGAGAAGGGAGCATTTTAGTAAGTCCTAAAGGATAAGGAGCTAGCCTATAGGACATGATTGAGAAACATAATTATATTCGCTCCAACAGCACATACATCCCCAAAACAGGCAATTACTGAATTTCAGGTTTAAACAAACTAAAGATACACTGACAATTTCTGCATAAAAATAAGTACCCCATGGGCCTGGTGCAATGACTCAGTGGCTAAATTCTCACCCTGCATGTGCCAGGATCTCATATGGGCATTGATTCATGTCCCAGCTGCCCCATTTCTCATCCTGCCCCTTTGCTTTGCTAACAGCTCTATTTCTAGGGTCCTAAAACAAGATACGAAATCCTCAAGTGAAAATATATAAATGAAAATGCCTCAGAGAGGGAAAAACTTCAGGACAGGAATACTCAGAAGATGTATCAGTGGGAATGGGAGAGGACACTTCCAAAAAAGTTGGAATCAAAATAAAACAGAAAAAGGAGCCCTAGTCAATTCTTGTTGCACAAAGTAGAAGTATTATACAAGGATTTATGCTTAATGGTTAGGGACTTGTTAAATTTATTATCAAAATTTCTTTCAAGAATGTGGCTACTAGTTTTTTATTCTTTTTTAAGATTTATTTTATCTTATTTTTATTTGAAAGGTGGAGTTACAGAGAGAACAAGACAGAAATCTTCCATCTACTGGTTCATTCACTAATTGGCTATAACTGCAAGAGCTGAGCTGATCCAAAGTCAGGAGCCTGGAGTTTCCTCAGGGTCCCTCACACGGGTGCAGGGGCCCAAAGACATGAGCCAAACTCCACTGCTTTCCCAGGACACAAGCAGTGAGCACAATCAGAAGTGGATGAGCCAAGATCAAACTGGGCCCATATGGAATGCCAGCATCACTGGTAGATAATTAGCAATACTAGGCCATAGTGTTAACTTTTTAAAATTTATATATATATATATTTTTTATTGCATTTCACTTTATAACATTGTTTCATAGGCTCTGATGTTCCCCCATCTCCTCCCTGTGCCCTCCTCCCATGGTGGATTGCTCCACCTTATTGCAGTATTACAGTTCAAATCCAGTCTTGTTTCTTTCATTGCAAGCATGTGCCATGCATAGACTCCAGCATAGCATTAACTTTTGTTAAGTTTTTAATTCATGGGGAACTATACCTGTATTCACTGCCAAAAACCACTGTGTTCAAGACAGCCAACCTGCAAGAGTCTCCTTCACATAGACATTTTGATACTGAAAATTCAAAAGTATGAATGTGTTCTAGCTTGTATAGTAATATATTGAAGATCCCTTCCAATGCCTTACTTACAAGATCAGGAATCAGTTGTTATTTATCATTGTAAAACAGTATTTTTGCTTCCTTCTTGGCTCATGTATTATGTCAGTTTTTTTTGACACTTGATGTAACACCCTGTACATGACTCTCTCCTTGTTTTGCTCAGTCTTCCCTCTAGCTGGATTATCCATTGTATTCATGTCTCCTAATCCATTCTTCAGTGCCACTCTATAAACTGCCTTCTACCACTGTCTTGAGGAAATACTATCTCCTTTTTTGTATATCAGGCATTTTAGCAAATTCTCAATGGCATGGGACAAGGGAGAGATCAAAATTCTCACTGGGTACCTCCCACTGAAGAATCAAAATACTGGTGCAGAGGAAAAAAAAACAGGGCACAAACATTTTCAAAAACACTCTCAGGTTTCTGAGCTTGCACTTGTCCTGGTAGATAACCATTCTTCTACAGTGTCTTAGGTCCTCTACCCAGAAAGCAGCCAAATACTCAATGTCATATTGTAAAGTTGGTAACCGTGGTTGCTTTCAAGAGAATGAGAACCAGATGGAAGAGAAACTTATTGTTTGTATTACATGTTTTTATGCATTTTGAGTTATGTTTTGTTCATATATTATCTAATCAAAACTAAAAAGAGAAAGAAATGGCACCAACCTGGAAACCAGATGACCTAAGTTGCCACTAGTTGCATATGATTTGGGGCATATCACTTAACTTTCATGAAACATTTTCTGTCATATTAAAAACAAGAAGAAGGACCAGCATTGTGGCACAATGGGTTAAGCTTCTTCCTGGACTTCTAGCTAGTGTCTGGGAAAATCAAGGAAGAGCGCAAGTGCTTGTTCCTCTGCTGAACACACTGGAACCTAGATGGACCTACAGGTCCCTGGCTTTAGCCTGGCTGCTGTGGTTACTTGGGGGTATACCAGTGGATGGAAGAGCCCTCTGTGCCTCTTTCTCTCTAACTCAGCCTGTCGAATAAATAGGTCATATTTTTTAATGAGAAGGGAATGCTTGCAGACCAACAGGGTTATTACAAGAAATGGGAGAAAATGCATTTAATGCAAAGAACTGATCTTTGTAACTGAGTGGTAGTACCTATTGCAACTGCTGGGAAATCCTGGTACATTCCACTGCCTTCAAACATCTACCTGCTCACTGGATGGTAAGGAATGGCAGGGACCACATTCCCCTGTTCTCTGACCAGGAAATAGAATTCAAAAAGGAAACAGAGTGAAATTTGTTCACCCTCATTGTCAAAGCCAGAGAACAAGACTTAATACGTTTGTTTCCATACTGAAGATATCAGTGATGTGCACTTCATATTACAACTGATGGCCAACAGCAAGGTCACTAGAATGAGCTTAATGCTTTTCTCTCACAGAGCTTTGATTATCTTAATAGTAAACACTTGCCAAGAAAGCCATCCCTAAAAGTGCAAGTCTCCCCAGATGCGGGAAAACTGTTCTTATATCATGATTAACAGCTTCCTAGAAGAGGGCAGCTAATACTCCACCACTGTAAATAGCCTCCTCCTCCCTCTTTCCCCACAGCTCCTCTCAGCTCCAAAGAAACCCTCATCTATTAATATGAACCCATAATATACAAAGATACTTCTTGAGTCATCCCTTCCAGAATGGTGTCCACGGGCTGGAAACCAACAAAAAAAGCAGCTAGACGTCTAAAACACCAACTAGGGTCATGAAACAAGATTTTTGTAATCAGAAGGCCAAAGGCATGGAACGGAATTGATAGCCTTGACCCCAGAGCCTGGCACAACCCTGCCTCACTGCTCCCCCTATGGTTGCTGGGCACCAAGGACACAGCATGTACAGGTCACGTTGGCCTGGTAACCATCAACACTTGCCCTTCTTCATCAGCCTCACCAGAAGCAAGCAAGTTACCAAACAACTCTTCGCGGTGATGAACAGGAACTGTGGCCTGACATGGGGCTTAGGTAACTAAAGAAAACTTAATACATTGTATGTTACAGCCTAGAACATGTATTTTTTTTTTGAGCATTCAAAAGTAAAATGTTAGAGACGAAGAAATCATGTATAAATGAAAACTCCTGCATGTTGACTGCCTTGAACACCACTGACTTTGGCACACATTATACTTCTGGTTCCTCATTGCTTTAAAACTTATAGCCACATTCCTGGAAGTTTTCTTTTTCAAGAGAAAAAGTAGTTAATTGTCCAATCTTTAATCATAGATGCTTATTTAATACTTTGTGTGTGAAGAGAATTGATCAGCCTTCTGCTGTTCTATTTTGAGTCCAATTTTTTTTTAAAGTACCCTCCACATTCCACTGACAAACCTTCCAAGTATTTCTCTCTAGATCTTTCTCTTTCTCCTCCTTAAACAATGTCAATTACATTCTCATTTCAGTACTTTGATATCATGCTTCAGTGTCCTTGAAAGTAGAGCTGGCAGGACGCACAAGCTTCATAATGTAGTACCTGACTTCAAGGTCAAAGTCTCCAGCTAACGCATGACCCAAGAGCAGCAGCTTAGCTCTGATTATTCGGTCCCTGCCACCGTGTGGGAGGCCAGGCTTGCCTTCCTGCTTTGAGAGTAACTAAGCCAGTGGATGGGAACATGCGTGCTTTCTCGTTCCTTTTTCTTATTTGTATCTTGGCCTCTCAATAAAAATCTTCAAAAATTACAAAAGTACTGGAGATAGACAACTGGGACCAGCAACCATTCATGAGACATCTAACCTACATCTTACCTTCTAGCACTGACAGTAAGAAGCACTTCAGCACACAGCAATTGTTAACAATTACCACAGGCTAGTAGTGTACTGATTATATGGACTCCAGAAGGAAACTCCCTGAGGTCAAATTCCGGACAGCTATGTGAAGGTGGGAACTTGGTATATGAAGCTGTCCATTCATCAAGTATTTATTAGCATCTCCTCTGTGCCAAGTCCTCTAACAAGTGCTACAGTTTCTGAGGACAAAACAAGAAAGGAAACGGAAAACAAACAAACAAACAAACAAAAACCTCTGTCGCACAGGATAGAAGTGAAATTATCAGCCTAAATTTTTTCTACATACTATGAACAATACCACCTCTGTTATGGAAGATATAAAATATGCCTTAATATCATCTTTATGTCAGTGATAAGCCTCATATTTCAGGAAAACATGTCAGACTAAATTCTAACTTTCAGACACAGCTCTGATTCAGTTTCATGAAGAGCAATCTATATAAAGTTCTTCAAACAATAAAAATGGTAAGATTTTTTTTAAAGTTTTTACCTTAGAATATTTTTGTAACTCAGCATCATCTGCAATCTGTGTGTTCAAAGTCACCACCTAAATTAAAAATATATATATATATTTTCAGTATTTCTGAAAACATTTTATCTTCCTAGGTTTTCTGAAAATATGCCAAAACTCTAAGTCGATAAGCCCAGCAGACCTACAATCTAATCTCTCCTGTATCTCTGAAACACCAGTATAGTATAAAGTGGAAATTTTCATAGTGCATTTACTGCTCTCATCCTCTATATCCATCTTTTCCTAAATTATTCAAAGGTTAAACAGAAAGCAGTAGGCAAATATATCTATACACTATTCTTAAAACTCCAGGATCCCAGCCCAGCGCAATGGCTCAATTGTCTAAATCTTCTCTTTGTAAGTACCAGGAACCAAATGGGTGATGGTTTGTGGCCTGGCTGCTCCATTTCCCATCCAACTCCCCGTTTATGGCCTAGGAAAGTAGCCAAAGTGTTCCAAAGCCTTGGTCCCCTGCATTGGCATGGGAGACCCAGAAGAAACTCCTGGGTACTGGTTTCAGATCGGCTGAACTCCAGCCATTACGGGCCTAGAAGCTTCTTTTGGGTCTCCCCCATTAGGACAGGGGCTGAAGCCCTTGTGTCAGCTTTCACTGTTTTTCCAGGTACATTAGCAGAAACCTAGGAGTGGAGCAGCTCGGCCTTGAACTGGCATCTATACGGATGCTAGCACAACAGGTGGAGACTTAACCATTATGCCACAGAACTTGCGCTGTATACGTAGAATTTTTTTAAAAGATTTATTTATTTTTATTGTTAAAGACAGATTTACAGAGAGAAAAAGATACAGAAGGAACAATCTTCCATCCACTGGTTCTCTGACCAAGTAGCTGCAAAGGTCAGAGTTCCAAAGCCAGGAGCCAGGAGCTTCTTCCTGGTCTCCTCCTGATGGGTGATGGGTACGGGGTCCCAAGACCTTGGGTCATCCTCGACTGCTCCCCTATGCCACAAGCAGACATCTGGATGGGAAGTGAAGCAACCAGGACATGAACCAGTGCCCATATGGGACCCTGGCACATGTACGGCGAGAACTTAGCCACTGAGCCATTGCGCTGGACCCATACATAGAGCTTTCAATCATGGTCATGAACCACTGTTTCAAGCTTCAATGGTGGACATCTACAGGAGTGAATTCCTTACAAACAAAAAGCACTTCAGTGCATCTCTAACATTTCATTAAAATATGGTGCATCTGGAATGATGAGTTAAGTTCAACAATCCAATGAAAACTTGTTAAAATGACTGCATTTCAGAGAACCAGACCTTACAAAAAGTGCAACAAGTAACACTGAAATCTTTATTTCACTTTTTCTATTTCTTCCACCCACCATCCACCTTGCCTCGGTTCTCCTATTTGTTTCTCATCCCTCAGAACAACTATAACTTATGCTGAATAAGCTGTTGCTTCGAATTTCCAGCTTTAAATTCTATCTCCTCTTTGTAGGCCCTCTGCTGTTACCTTACCACACAACTGAAGCTGGAAAAAGTGGTTATGATAAAATGTTAACAGAAAAGAGACCATCAAAACCCTGGCCACTTATCAATATCGATATACCAAAGCACTTGGAATTTCAAATTAATGACAGAAAAAAGGTCATTTGCTAGGTGTCAACCTAAGGATAATATTTGAAATCTATGAAACAGAAAAGCAGCATTTTATGAGAAATTATATACAAACACAAAACTAGTAAAAAGAAAAGCATGAACTGCTCTGACTCATCTTAATGACTGTGGAAATTTACTGAAAACAATGACTGGGTATTCTAAACCAAAAGGAGAAAGATAAACCTTCAACTAGCTATCAAACAAAAATGATAAGCATATATTAATAAAACGTGAATGACAGTATAAATTTAAAGGAATATTTTACTGCTAATGCATTGGGTGAACACTTTAGAGGCTTTTCTAAGCACAGCCTTCTGCTTTCAGGTGGATCCATATGAGGAAATGTAATCAATCCCTTACTCAATGAATCTAATACCAGGTGAAAGGAAGTCTAATGGACCACGGGCATTATAAACTTATATCCAACCTAAATTACTTCCTGTTCTTCCAAATATATGATAATCATTCTTTCATTTTTCTCATAAAACTGTAAGATTCTCTATGAAACATAGGACTAATATCCACAGCCCTTTCAGAGTATAATAAAACAAACAGATCATAAAAAGTAATCATAAAAATGCCAGCAATTTTAAGCAGCTGATACAGGTTATAAATTTAAAAGCAAACCCTCTTTCTCCTAACATTTTTCAGCTTATCATCAACTTAAACAGCTCCAACATGAACTGAGTGTCTGCTAATTATAACTGAGGCTTCTGCCTAAAGCATTTTTTAAAATGCTTCAAAAACTTAATTAACTGATCCAATGAAGAAAAAAAATAAAAGCAGCTTGTCCATTCTTTGACATTATCATTTCTTTAAATTGTTGTTAGGAGTTTGGCACAAAGCAAGTCCTAAGTGGTTTCTATTGTATGATTTTCACATACCATTACTTCGTAATCAGGGCCCAGGAGGCTTTCCCATCTGGATTTCAGGTTATTTTCTGCAGAGTCCAGGGCTCTTTCTGGATACATAATAAAAGGAAAATAAAAGTTGAAGCTACTGTGAGACAAAAACATTTAGCGACTAAATTCATTTATAACAACATAGTTTCAGTAAGTAAAGAGGAAATAATAAAAAAGGAAAATGCATTTACTTGGTAAAGTGAATCACAGGTGACTATTAAGATTAATGTAAAATGTAAAAAAACAGCTGAGACCAAATTGTGAAGGGGCTTTACATTGTTAAGTAATATTTTAAGGAAAAAACGAAATGATGAAAACAACTAAAATTTGACTTAAGTAATTTACATGTAAATATTCTATAGCTTACAAGTAAAAGCATCTGTTTTTGCTTTATCATATGCTAGAATATTTAAGGATTTAATTTAAATATTAATCACTTCAAATTAATACAGTACTACTTAACTAAGAACCAAGGCATCTTAAAAATCAAGCAGACATTTCAACACAATACACTAAGACTTTTCATACAGGAGAATACAAGGCTTATCTAGGGATAGGGATTGTGGAACAGCAAGTTATGCTGCTGCTTCTAATGACAGCATTCTTAAACAGATTTATTTATTTTTATTTCAGAGGAAGATACATAGAGAGAGAAGGAGAAAGAGATCTGTCATGCATTAGTTCGCTCTCCAAATGGCCACAGCCACCAGAGCGAAGCCAATCTGAAGCCAGAAACCAGGAGCTTCTTCCAGGATTCCTATGTGCATACAAGGGCCCAAGGACTTGGGTCATGTTCTACTGCCTTACTAGGTCATAGGCAGAGAGCTAGATCAGAGGTGAAGCAGCAGGCACTCAAACTGGCACCCATGAGATGTTGGCTCTGTAGGCGGAGGATTCACCTGTGAAGCCACCACCCCGGCCCCAAGCTAGCATTTTACATGAGCAGCAGTTTGAGTCCCAGCTGATACACTTCCAATCCAGCACCCTGCCAATACACTCAAGAAGGCACTGGAAGATGACACAAGTGCTTCAACTTCTGTAACCCATGTGGAAGACTGGCTTCCATTTCCAGGCTCCCAGCTTTCATTTGGCCCAGTCCCCACGGCTGAGGTCATTTAGGGAGTAAACCAACACATGGAAGCTATTTCCCTCTTTTCTTTCTCTCTTTCTCTCCCACCTTTCTCTAACTCTGCCTTTCAGATAGTATTTTTTTAAGTTATCTTCTTTATTTGACCAGAGTATCAAGAGCTATAGCATAAAGGAAACTTCACATTTACAATAGTCTTATGTTGCTTCTTAGAATGCAGAATATTTCCATTTTTATGATGTTCTTGAATATGATATTGTCTTTGTCAGATAGGTAACAGTTTTAAAGAGTTAAACAGATTTTAAGCACCTCACCTACATGATAACCAGAAACTCACTGCATAGTTCATAGTTGAAATAAACGCTCATAGGTAAAGGTCAAAGTATTAAAGATATTATTTCAAATTATACCCATAGAAGTAACAGAAAAGAAACTTCTCCAATTTTTCCTCTGAATTAAAGAAAAATGCTCTAACTTTTTTCTAAGGTTAAACAACCTACATTTTTCCAATTCTGCTATCATAACCACCTGCCTAAAATCAAACATACCTGTAATATCAGCTCTTTTGTTCTTCAACACATATACATAATCATATGTATGAATGCACATAATGGTTAATTACATAACTCAAATCATTAAATAGTCTAACCTCAAAAATCAAAGACTAATGAACACTAAGAACTACTAGATTTACAAGATAACACACATGAGCTAATGATATTAACTGATATGTTATATTACATCTAGGCCTTAACTAACCAAAGATCTTATATTTTTTTCAAGATTTATTTCAGGGGCCCGGCGCGGTGGCGCAAGTGGTTAAGGTCCCCGCCTTGAACGCCCGGGATCCCATATGGGCGCCTGTTCTATCCCGGCAGCCCCGCTTCCCTTCCAGCTCCCTGCCTGTGGCCCGGGAAAGCAGTGAAGGACGGCCCAAAACATTGGGAACCTGCACCTGCGTGGGACACCCGGAAGAGGCTCCTGGCTTCGGATGGGCATAGTATCGGCCGTTGCGCTCACTTGGGGAGTGAATCATCGGACGGAAGATCTTCCTCTCTGTCTCTCCTCTCTGTATATCTGCCTTTCCAATAAAAAAAATAATAATAATAAAAAATAAATCTTTAAAAAAAAAAGATTAATTTCAGTACTAAAAAAATAAGAGGCAGAAAGAGAGCTTCTAATCCCTGATTCCTCCCCAAGAAGTCACAATGATGGGAGCCAAGTAAATCGAAAGCTAGGAGCCAGCTTCTTCTGGGTCTCTCATAAGAATGCAAGGGTCCAAGCACTTGGACCATGCTCCACTGCTGTCCTAGGCACAATAGCAGGAGGCTGGGTTACAAGTGGTGCAGATGGGATTCGAACACAGTGCTCAATAGGATGTATAAACCACATGTCAGCAGCTTTACTCACTATACCATTGTACCAGCCACACGAAAGACCTTATTAGTAGGGCCCAGCGCCGTGGCCTAGTGGCTAAAGTCCTTGCCTTGAACACGTTGGGATCCCATATGAGTGCCAGTTCTAATACCAGCAGCTCCACTTCCCATCCAGCTCCCTGCTTGTGGCCTGGGAAAGCAGTCGAGGACTGCTCAAAGCTTTGGGACCCTGCACCCGCATGGGATACCCAGAAGAAGTTCCTGGATCCTGGCTTTGGATCGGCATAGCATTGGCCGTTGTGCTCACTTGGGGAGTGAATATCGGATGGAAGATCTTCCTCTCTGTCTCTCCTCTTCTCTGTATATCTGACTTTGTATTTAAAAAAAAAAAAGTGAATAAATCATTAAAAAAATACCTTATTAGTAAAAAAAAAAAAATTCTATAGGACAGGACTCAATGTGGTGGCCTAGTAGCTAAAGTCCTTCACTTGCACGCACCAGGATCCCATATGGGTGCCAGTTCTAATACCGGCAGCCCTGCTTCTCATCCAGCTCCCTACCTGTAGACCTGTAGCCTGGGAAAGCTGTCAAGGATAGCCCAAAGCCTTGGGAGCCTGCACCCGCATGGGAGATCCAGATGAAGCTCCAGGCTCCTGGCTTCGAATCGGCTCTGGCCACTGTGGTCACTTAGGGAGTGAATGATTAGACAAAAGATCTTCATCTTTGTCTCTTCTCTCTGTATGTCTGGACTTGTAATCACTGAAGAATGCTGACCACTAAATACCAGTCCATGCAAAAGCTATGGCTCAGGTCTTGTCTAGCAGAATCATATCCTGTTTCCTGACATGATGATGGATCAGGAGATGGGTCACATTTAGCAGGGCCATTACATTAACTAGCACTCAAGAACCATAACCGGGGCAAATTCTGTGAGGGATGTGTGGGCCAACCCTTGTGGAAATTCTAGCCCCACTGGTTATCTCGAGAGTTGGGGTGGTGATGGACTAAGAAAGGTGTGACCAAGGAACCTGCCATGCATCACAGGTAAAGGAACCCCCAACAGTCTGGACTAGTCAGGGCAGCAGCACCTGAATGTGCATCCTGAATAGGGTTTGGGGTAGGCCAGGCTGCAACATTCACCAGCTCATACAAGGCCAAATGGAAGGCAAAATTTCGCCAGAACCTGGCCTAAACCCAATGGCATGTATGAGAACTGGGTCTGGGAGTGGACTGAGTGGAGGAATTTGGGCTTCACGAGTCATAGCTCTCGTTGATTAACACGTGGTCCAGACCTGGGGGGTCAGAAAAGCTGGGCAAAGTAGCTCCAACAGCTGGCTAATGTGTCAACTGGTAATGGAACAGGGGCATAACAGGCAGGACTGAGCAAACCTTAGCCCACAAGCGAAAACTACAGACCAGGATGGAGCACAGGTCATGCCGAGCTAGGCTCTTGCACATACGGGTCTGCATGAGCAAGAAACGCTAAGCCACAGTGCCTAAGGCAGAGGCCGGGACAGATGAAGGTCTGAGCCAAGCTGAGACAGAGCAACCACTGGCATGCACGTGATCCAGAGGTGTAAACAGGCCCGGTTGGGGAGCTAAGGGGACAACCCTAGCCGGGCTGAGGCTCCCACCAAGGGGCATGTGGCCTGGAATGGGGGCTGCGTTCTGATCAGGAAATGGTTGTAGTCCTCTTGGCACAAGTGTGGACTGGGATTGGATGCACCGAACCGGGCCAAACTCCAATACCCTCTGGTGTCCTGGAGGACCAGGGTAGATGTGGGACGCCTAGGCTAGGTCTCAACCCCTACTGAGCCATGTGTGAACGGTATGTGGGTATGGACGAGCCACAGCTGGGCTGAAACATCCAATGGCAAGGACCAGTTTGGGTTGAAGGCCAGTCAGGAAAAGCCACTGTTACTGCTAGGACAGGAGGTGAACTGAGTAGGGCTGGCTCATGGACCCACTGGTATATGCAAAATCTGGCACTTGGAGGGGTTCTGATGGAGGAGCCTGGGCAACTCCTCTGGCAGGACACAGACCCGGTAGGAAAACTCAAGAAACATGAATGGAAACAGCCCAGAATAGGCCATGGAAAGTTACCCACGGGCATACATTTGGCATGGGCCAGGGGAAGACCAGGCTGAACCTCTTCACTTCTCCACTGGCAAATCCAAGCATCATAACAGTGTGGGTCGAGCCAGGTTCGGTCACGACAAAAACTAGTGCACAATACAGAATGCCAAGGTGAGGTTGCCTGTACCAGAAGTGACCACAGCATCCAAACAGCACACGTGAGAACCAGGAAGGGAGGGGGCAGAGCTGGCAGGGGAATAAGGGGTGGTTCCCTTGCTGGACAGCTACTCCCACTGGAGAGCATGAGCTGGGATGGGGGCAGACCAGACTAAGCAGGGCTACAACACCTGTGCGCCTCAGGTGGACTAGCTCAGGAAAAAGCCAGACTGGGCTGATTACTACTACTGGTGCAAACAAAATTAGAGTGGGTGAGGGTTGTTTGGGCGTAGCCACAGCATCAGCTGGCAGAAGCTGGCACTAGGGCCTAGTTCTGTCAAGTCAAACCACAGAACTACCTGGACAGGGCATAATCCAGAAATGGGAGAGGCCTGGGGGGGGGGGGGGGGAAATAGTGGGCTCCTCTCTCTTGGGTTACCATTTCCATGAGAGGGCATGAAAACCAGGACAGGGGCTGGGGTAGAATGGGGTGTGTGACAGACTGGACCACTGCTACACAAACTGGCAAACTAGGGTAGGGGGCAGTCCTGGTGGGGGTTATTGTGGGTTGCTCCAACTAGGCTGCAGCTCCCACTGGTTTATGCGAGGGCCGAGTATGTGCTGGGCAGAACCAGGCTGGACTGTAACACCCATTGGTTCCAGTGGAAGTCGGGGCTGAAAATAGATCCAACCCAGCGATCGCAACCACCAGCTAATCAGGGTGATGGACTGTGCCAGGCCCTGTACTTTCTAATACATACAAGAATCTGGCTTGGGAACACCTCAGACAAAGTTTCTCTGGGATTCTCCCCAATCGAAATGCTAGACTCAGAACCCAAACCAAGAAAAGGGAGAAGACAGAACAGGTCAATCAACCATCTCAGTTATATCTTGGCAGCAAAATATGGGGCAAACAGAGACTCTATGATGGACTATGCTAATGGATTCTTCAAAGACCTCAGTGCTTGGAGTGGCAAGATTGACAGCGATTCCTAACCAGTGAACTATCAAAACCACCTGAGCAAGAACCTCGGAGCATACCCTACCTGTGGGACCTGGGGTGGGTGGGAAATTGGGTGGCCCTTCCCCCTTAATGCCCCCTTTAAACATGAAGGAAACAATATGGAAATAATAGTCTTACCCACTTTCCTATAGCCTTTGAAACTTTTTACCCCAATTAACTATGTAAAGATTGTCAAAAATATAATAAAAAAAATTTTAAATAAAAAATAATAATAATAATTTCAAGCCTGAAATCACACACAGCACAAAAAACTATAGTGAAGTTTGTTGAAAAAGTGCAAACAAATATTTTTTCTGGAACTTCTAAACGCAGAATGTTTTTAATTTTCCCTAGATATTCCACTTAAAGACTTATCTGATGTCAAGTGAAAATAACATTAATTTTGCCCTAATTATCCGTGATCAAAAGAATTAGGCAAATAGGGCCCAGCACAATAGCCTAGAGGCTAAAGTTCTCGCCTTGCATGTGCCAGGATCCCATAGAGGCAACAGTTCTAATCCCTGGTATTGCACTTCCAACGCAGCTTCCTACTTGTGGCTTGGGAAAGCAGTTGAGGATGGCCCAAATCCTTGGGACCCTGCATCTGCATGGGAGACCTGGAAGAGGCTCCTGGCTTCATATTGGCTCAGCTCTGGCCTTGCGGCCTCTTGGGGGATAAACCAGAGGATAGAAGATCTTTCTCTCTGAATCTCCTTCTCTGTGAATTTGCCTTTCCAACAAAAATAATAAGCAAATATTTTAAAAAAAAAAAGGATTAGGCAAATTTCAAAAACATACAAAATATTTCAATCATGAATGCCGGGCAGCAGATACTATGGTACAGTGGGCAAAACTGCAGTCGTTGGTGCTTGCATTCCACGTGGGCACCAGTTCAAGTCCTAGAGGCTCCCCTTCTGGTCCAGCTCCTTGCTAATGCACCTGGGAAAGCAGCAGAATATGGGCCTGGAAGAAGCTCCTGGCTCCAGTCTGATCTAGCCCAAGTCACTGCAGCCGTATGCGGTGTGAACCAGCAGACGGAAGACTTTCTTTTGCATTTACATAAATATATAACACTAACTTTCAAATGAATCAGTAATTCTTTAATAAGGAAAACTTCCTTCAGACTTTTCTTTCCAAAGACAAGCAAAGCACAAAACCCAAAGTTTTCTGGATGATATAAAGTGTTAAGTATCTCAAAATATTCACTCAGCTAGCCTGCCTCTCCTGTTTCAGATTCAGCTTGCTTATAGTCTAGACTCTGCTATATGAATTGAGCATCAAAGTACAGGTGAAAGGACAAAGTTGCAAATCAAGCAAAAAGATAATTAAAGAACAATTATATAGCAGCCTAGCAATTGGATCCAAACATATAAAAATGTATTTATTATTGATGAAAAGCTAATAGAACTATAAATAATGGATATATGTATATTAACAATAAACATAAGCTAAAACAGAATTAAAATGCTTTGAAAATTAAAAGTAGTTATCACATACTAATAAATATACATTCAAAATTAACATAATTTAAACAAAGACTAAACAAGAATGTGTTTGGTCCACAACTGCTACAACTGTTAAGATGTTCACATTGAGGCCAGAGCCATGACACAGTAACCTTCACCATCGGTGCCAGCAACCTATAAGGGTTGCTCCAGTTCCAGTGCAGCTCCTCGTTAACAAGCCTAGGAAAGCAGCAAAAGATGGCCCATGTGCTTGGGGATCTGAACCCATGGGAGAGACTGGAGGAAACCAAGCTTCTGGCTTGGAGCAGACCAGTCAAGGCTGTTGCAACTATTTAGGAATAAACTCAGTAAATGGAAAAATCTCTTTTCTCCTGTAAATCTGCCTTCCAAATAAAAATAAGTGTTTTTAAAATATGTTTATATTAAAAACACTGTATTTACATTTCCAAAATGGCTTTAAGATTTCTCCTATCATATTAATTATAAACACAGAGAACGACTAACAAACAAGAAGGCTAAATTGCTCCAAAATGAATATTTTATGCCTACCTGGTTTTTCCGAAGCTTGCAGGTTGTCATTTTTTAAATTATTTATTCTTTCTTCAACTTCCTCATCTTCATCATCCAAATTAGTTTCTGTTTCCACTGCTCCAGTTAGAAAGACAGTTGGTGATTTTGGTGATTCTACAACATTTCCTTAAAAAAGAATAAAAAAAAATGTCAGCTTGAATGAATGGTAGTTGAGAACTATATTTCAGTGAAAAGTTTCATTCCTGCTCTTCTGTTCCACATCCACATTACAAACATTTCAGGTTATCTTACAGCCTAAACAAATGCTTCAAAAAATTAAGCATTATTCCATTTTAGTTTAGGATTTCTGTCTGTAGAGGAATGACAACAGAAGCTATATTGATACCAGGGAATCTCTCTAAATCTTCTTAAGTGTGATAATAGTATCATGTTTATAACTGAATATGCTTTCTATAATAAATAAACTGAAGTACGTAGAGGTAAAAACGTCACGACGTGCACTACTCACTGTGAAATGATCCCAAGAGAAAAGATAAATGGATAAGTCCAAAATTGTAAAATGTTACCTATTAGATCCTAATGGTATATTTTTTCATTAAATCACCTTTCATTTCTAATGAAAACTACTTTACAATAAAAAGTTGAAAAATACAACTTGTCAGAAATTTCTTTTATCTTAGGAGACATCAAACCAATAGTTAAGAACTTTTAGATCAGCAATCCTTAGGTGTAAAGGTACAACCCAGAGCTAGACTAAGATATCCCAGCATTTACTGCAGAATTATTCACAACAACCAAGAGGTGGAAACAACCTAATGAATGAGCAGATAAAGACACTGGGTCACACACAATGGAATGTTATTCAACCTTTAAAAAAAAACAAGAAGTGAAGCCTGTCACGTGTCTTGTGCAAAGTGAAATGAGCCAGTCTCAGGAGAAAGAGCATAGGTTTCCTCTCAGATGAGGACTCGAATTAGCCAAACTCACAGAAGCCAAGTATGACTGCAGATACCAGAGGCTGGAGGAGGAAACGGAGAACTACTGGATGAGCTCAGAGTTTCAATTATGCAGAATCAAAGAGTTCTAGAGATCTGCTGTACAACAAGGAGTCATCAGGACTGTTTCATCTACTTAAAAACTAGTTGCAAGAGTACATTTCTTGTTAGTTATTGTTTAACCACAACAAAAATACTAATAAAAGTATCAACCACAAGCTTCTAGCTTATCTTGGGAAAACAGTCGCACATCAGTAAAGCCACAAGAGCATACACACTGGCACAGAAGTATACAAATAGTCGGGGTTTAAAGGAGGAAAGACAGTAACATTCAGGATGGTAAAGCCGGTATATTGCAAGAGCTAGAAGCTGCGCAGTTTGTTTCTATGAAACCAAATTCTAAATGTTAATAGTGCACGAGGCACAAAAATATGTGTGACATGGGGCAAGAAGCAATGATATAACCACTCCCTCCATTTCAGCCATACACATAAAACACAGCATGCTAAAAGCTATAACAGACTGCTTTTAAAAGAGTGCTTTGCAAAGGGTGTAGGGAACTACAGGACAAACCATGGAAACAATGGTGCCAATTTAAAGGCAAAACCAATACAAATTAAAAATGTAGCATGCCCAGTAAATAACTGCTTCAGAAACACTGAACATGCCTACATTCATTTGCGATAGTAGACCAAAGCCAAGGGTTCTATCAGAGCTATTAGGAACCATTATATTTATATAAACATTTATGTAAACCTTTTAAGGTCAATATGGCACATGCACAATTTGCACTATTTAAGCAATTTTAAATTTCAGACATGCAATACAGTTGACAAGGCATCTGTCTTTCAGCTGCAAAATTTCCACTATCATATAAGATATAAAAAGTTCCAAATGAAATCCAAATCAACAGCAGCTGAGGCCAAAGGCCACAAGGTTCATTGTACCTTAAGGGCAATACTTACAGAGGGGTAAACAGCTTTATTTATTCTCAGGACATGCTAATAGAAGCATGCCTTACTCCGTAGTTTTGTACTAAACCGTGGTACAAAACAAGTGTTCCCATGATCGTCAACTCTGATGATCAATTTATATGTGCTGACCAATAAAACACTGATATTCACACAAGTATATATTTGTTCTATCATGAAGATTTATTTCAATAAGTTGATATTATTCTATAAGCAAAAATATTTTTCACAGAAACTCAAGTTTTATTTTCTCACTGTACTTCAAAATTAAGAGATTTCAGTAAAATACATTGCTAAAAGAGATATGAACCCAAAGTTTGCAAATATAACAAAGCATTAGAAAAAAATTAAAACCCTTGGAGCAAAACGCATCAAAGCACTATTACTCAAAGATAAGCAATAAATGAAATTGAAAGCTTTTTCGAAACATGATTTCATTTCCATTTAGAGAAACTCCTAAAGCTTAATGCATGTCAGGGTTCATGTCCTAACATTTGGACTCTGGTTTTGTTTTTTTTTTTTTTGTACTCTCACATTATTAAAAGCAAAAGAAATGTTTCTCCATGAAAGGCAAAAGGATGGTAGAATTAATTACCTCTGTCTGAAGGTAGTTCAAGTGGGTAAGTAGATGAGGAAGTCTTTCTTCGAGCTAATGTTAAGTGTACCACCTGCCCAGCATGTCGTAATACTTCAACAACATCCTGGTTGGCAAAACCCTGAATATTTACACCATTAACCTAAAACATGAAGACACAAGTTAAACCGTTAAACCGAGGCTTTATTTTTTTTAAGATTTATTTTTATTATTTTTTTATTGGAAAGGCGGATATACAGAGAGGAGAGACAGAGAGGAAGATCTTCCATCCCATGATTCACTCTCCAAGTGAGCGCAATGGCCGATACTATGCTGATCGGAAGCCAGGAGCCTCTTCCGGGTCTCCCACGCGGGTGCAGGGTCCCAAAGTTTTGGGCTGTCCTCGACTGCTTTCCCGGGCCACAGGCAGGAAGCTGGAAGGGAAGTGGGGCTGCCGGGATAGAACCGGCGCCCATATGGGATCCTGGGCGTGCAAGGCGAGGACCTTAACCACTTGCGCCACCGTGCTGGGCTCGGCTTTTATTTATAATTCTGGTATGACTGGATACAATGAGACAACTGACTTCATATCACAAACAAGCTATCTTACATTTTTAGCAAGGATACAAAATGTAGTCAAAAAGTTGCTTTTTGATTGACTATGTTACAAACTAGAAAGCAAGTTCAAACTTGCACTTCCCCACCACCTTTTAACTAACAGCCTGAGAAAGGGTTTTACTCTCTGATACAATTCAAATTTAAATTTAAATGCTCTAAAAGATGGCCAGCTGCTATTTGTAGCTCTCAAGATGTATTAATAGAAGTCATTATCAAAGTTGAAGTGGTCATCCAATATTTCATCTATCCTATCACTGTGCAACATTTTCTAAAAAAAAAAAAAAAACCACTGATCACCTGAGGCTGCTATGAAGTTAAGTACAAGAAAGTAACTCTTCATCTAAGTTTAGCCCGATACATTCCTGAAGCACAACAGGACAACACGAGTCCTCTTTCAATCTTCACACTAGCCAAACCACTACTCTAGCTTTCCTCCTAAGTATTTTCTCTAAAGCATACACAACTATTTCTGGCCTCCAGACACTATAAATCACTGAAAGACATTTCTTATCTTAGGTCCATTAGTGTAAAAGGCAAGAGTCATGAAGGGTGCTTCCTGAGATGGACAAGAAGGACAAAGACTCAAGGCACCGCCCAACATCTGCCTCTATGTTACGAACCCTATGAGCATCGCTTCTCGGCCTTTTGGCCAAATGAAGTGGTAGTATCTGCTCTTGTCAGTTTGATATCTGATACATCCTCTCTCCAAGAACTCTATATGAAATGCATTTTTGGAATTAGGAGTTGGACTAACAGGAGTTTGCTCTGCCCACTCCACGCATTCACCTGGTATTGCAGTACCTCCAGGAACACTGCACCCCCTCAAGAGGGGGGAAAAAAAACCTTATGGATTTGCAGACACTAGACAGCTATTGAATCCATCTACATCTAAATGAGAGCATATAAAAATTTAATTTATACTAAATACACAACACCAATCTCATTAGTAAAAGGTACTGCATTCTAAAACATATAAAATATTTGAGGTATACTCAAAAGTTAGGAGGAAAATTAATTCACATAGAAATGGAAAGAGGTGGTGAATGGTTTGTTAATTTCTTGAAGTGTTTTCCAGGAGCATGTTGGAACATATTTTGAATATATTTATGTATGTATATAAAATAGATATATTTGAGTGACTATAAATGTGTAAATATAATTTTCTTCTACTAACTGTGAATCCTTTCTTTGTTAATAATCAAAAAAATGGCAGGAAGGCACCATAGTGTAACAAGCTAAGCCCCACCTGTGTATCAGCATCCTGTATGGGTACCTGTATTTGGTCCCACCTGTTTCACTTCCAATCAAGCTCCCTGCTAATTCGCCTGGCAAAGCAGTGAAAGGTGACCCAGGTCTTTGGGCAATTGCACCACATGGAAGACCTGGAAGAAGCTCCTTGCTTCTGGCTTACCCAGGCCCAGGCCCTGCCATTGCAGCCCCTTAGGGACTGAACCAAGAGTTGAAAAATTCTCTAGCTCTTCCTGTCTTTCTTTCTCTATAACTGTGCCTTTCAAATAAAAACAAATAAATCTCTAAAAGAAAAAAAAAACAAAACACAAAAGTTGGGGCCATAAAGGTCCAAATCAAATAGTATTTCATTGTGAGTTACACACAAACTTCATTTTCTAAAATCAAATTAAAGTCTCTAATAAGCCCCCATCCCTTTCAAATGCATAACAGTAAAGATCAACATTTCTTAAGCGTGATTCAGCTCTAACGCAAAGGGGAGTTACGTACGGCAATTATCTTGTCATTCACTTGAATGTGGCCATTGTGGTACGCAGCACTGCCAGGTATTATACTTTTCACATAGATCCCAGAAGCTTCTCCTGAAGGTACGGGCACATAGGAAAAGGAAAAAGCTCTAATTAGGCCTTGATTGCAACATTCATATCAAGAGGTTAATTAGCTAAAGAGAATGACTGAAGGCTTGATAAATAATACTATTTTGAACACAAGCAGAAGAAATTGATGGGTTATTACTAACTGTCACCATCACAAGTGACCTGAATTTGGAATGATTTGACTGACAACTACTCTTTTGGAAAAACAATCAGTAATGGAACCTTGACGAAAGGCCCTCCAATCCGAGCTGGAGTCCAGGAGAGCCCACACTGAGCTGACTCCCTAGGTTTAGCTCTAGTCTCACTGTTAATTTGACATAAGTCTTCATTATTTTTCACTAGTGCTAGGACAACTGTCTCCTAACAGAGGTTCCTGCCTATATTCAGTTCACTGCTCTTATTTGCACCCCATAAAAGGAAAAAACATACATATCTCAAAGAAAATTGGGATGGGCTAGGTAACACATCTCTCTACACTATGAAAATTCAACCTACACAAAAAAGCAGGCAGGCCTGGTGTGGTAGCCTAGCGGCCTAAGTCCTCATCTTGCACATGCCAGGATCCCATACAGGTACCAGTTTGTATCCCAGAGGCCCTACTTCCCATCCAACTCCCTGCTTGTGGCCTGGAAAAGCAGTCAAGGATGGCCCAAGACCTTGGGATTCTGTGCCCATATGGGAGACGCAGAGGAGGCTCCTGACTCCTGGCTTTGGATTGGCACAGTCCTGGTCATTGAGGCCACTTGTGGAGTGAATCAGCAGACAGATCTTTGTCTCTGTCTCTCTTCCTCTCTCTCTGTCATTCAAATAAAAATAAATAAAATCTAGGCTCAGCATGGTAGCCTTGCAGCTGAAGTCCAACCACAACGGCCAGAGCTGCACCAACCCAAAGCCAAAAGCCAGGAGCCTCAACCCACACAAGTGCAGAGTCCCAGGGTCGTGGCTGTCCTAAACTGCTTTCCTAGGCCACAACCAGGGAGCTAGATGAAACTGGGGCAGCCAGGATTAAAACCGGCACCCATATGGGATCCTGGCATGTTCAAGGCAAGGGCCTTAGCAGCTAGGCCACCACACTAGGCCAGCAAATTTCTTCTAAGAACTACCAAATACGTTTTCTGTGACGTTATTATACAATTCATATTTAGTTCTTTTGGGACTCATTTAAATTCTGAATCTAAAAGAACTGGCACTTGGAAGAATTTAAAATTTGAAAACAGACATTTCATTAAGCTGACATGAATATCACTCAGGACTCTGAATATATTTGCACTCTTAATCTTTCCACCTGCAGTAAATAGGCAAGATAACACTATTTTTTTTTTAAGAAAAGAAATTAACTCGCTAATCTTGCCACTTTTTCAGAAAACTGAAACATTTCATAATGCTGAATTTCCATGTTAATAGCATGTTCCTGATTTGTGAAAAGATCTATTTTCTTGGGCTAATAATTATTTTATGACAGAAAAAGCATTACATTAACTATTATCAAGCTGTGAAGGTAAGAGCTGAGGGAGTTTTATTAAGATACTCAAGTCACATATTTATATTTATTCTCCTATTTCCTAGATATGAAAAGAAAATAACTCTGCTGAAATATTTGCTTTATCTTACTTTTTTCTGTATAAATATGTTAACATTTTACACTTTATTATAAAATTCACATAATAATCAGCTTACTTTATTACCAACACAATTATATCATAATATATTAAGTCACAATATTCAAAATATATCCCTCAGAAATAATAGGAGGTGCAATTCAAATGCTATAATGCTGAATTGTGCAGTTCAATTCCTTTATTAATGACTATCAAGACAGCTACAAAATTATGAAGATAAAAATGTTTTGCGCTAATCACTGACTGCTGTTAGATTCATCATTTCATTGTTCAAGGTTTAAATTAAAATCTGCAAGTACTTAATTTTACTGTCCAGAAGCCTTAACTTCCTTAACAATTATTTCCAAACACCTCACAGAAATGGTTCATTTACCTGAATGTGATGTACCAACATAGCCAACAATTCTAATTCCAAGACTCTGTCCATCTTTTTTAACGAGCTCGACATCATAAGTTTCAAAAAGAGAATTATCCTACAAGGAAAAATATAATTTGTTTAGTTACATAACAGTGTCTACATAGCCAATCTGTGCAAAATTTGCCAAGTATTTTCTTAGCAAATGTAGTAGGTAAAGTTTAGAGATGATTCCCAAGATCTTCAGACACTAGTGTTATCCCCGTGTTAACACCTGAGGACGGCACCAGAGATCACCCAGTTGGTGTAATCTAACCAAATGATCCGTAAAAGCAGAATTGTCTCCTGCTGCTAGCAAAAAGGAAAGCAAGAAACATCTGAGGCAAAAGGATTCAATTTGTGGAATGAAAATGAAGGGTTATGTGCCGAAGCCTCATGAAGCTGAAAGAGGGCTTTGCCAAAAGCCAACACAGAAAATGGGACCTCAATCCTACAGCTGCAAGGAACTTAAATTGTGGGTGGACCAGAACCAGAACCTCCAGAGAAGAGAACAAAATTAACACCTTGATTTTGCCCTTCAGGGAATCCAGAGTGACCAGCCTTGCCAGACCTAACCAGACTCCCACACCACCGAACTGTGCACTAACACAGCTACCAACCTGGTATTACTCTGCTACATGAGATGAGAAAATCAACACAGCCACTTTTCTAAATCTCAGGATACATTTGAATCTGAAGGAATTACAAGCATAAGGAAAAATCCACAAACCAAATGTAATATATAATATTTCTTTCTGCTCCTTCCTTTTGAAAACTATTTGCTTTTGCCTTTTTATATCTTCATTCAGAGTCTATGAGATTGCTGGGGAAAGCTAGAAACATAGCAGAAAGATATAAATTCAAATTCTGGCGCTGCAACTTACTCCCTAGCAAGCTTTTAACCAATTATTCACCTTTTGTTTCTGCATCCATTAAATGGATGACATCACTTCTGTGGCAGAATTACTGGCAGGATTTCTATGACTTAGACAATCCCAAAGGATTAATAATCATGATTATCCTATCACTACAATAATAATTACTTCTTAATAATTTAATAAGCATTATTAAAATCTATCCTCTTTAGCACATATGTTTCTGTAAGGAATAGTTCTCAAATATTGACCAGTATTCTCATTTCCCCTCCTATCATTTAGACATCTTATTACCCACCTAATAAAACAGACCAAGCCAATATTACTCTTCTTCAATTGAGAAATGAGCAGCCACGGTGTAGGAAGGCTGAGTGACTTAGCCCAGAGAAGTACAAAGCAGAAAAACCTACCTGGTGTCTCCAAACTGGCAAACTGCGCTCTCCTTCACTTCACTGGGGAGCCACAAAATACTACTTGATTAAATGTGGTGTTTTGATTTAAAGGGTTTCTTGTCTGGCAGTGTATTATATCGGGTATTTTATTTAAGATGAAAGGATGATTTGAATACTCACAGAACCAGAGCTCCTGTTGGCTCCAGCTGGCAGGGCAACAGGCAGCGCCGTAGGGGTAGGAGGAGTCACCAAAATTTCGCCAATGGGGTTTCTAGCCACGAGCATCCTGACCGAGTTTCCACAGTTCCTCAGAACCTGTGCAACCTGCTCACTCGTCATCCCCTGCACATTTGTGCCACCAATCTTCAAGATATAATCTCCTGTCTGGAGTCTTCCATCCTTAAATCCAGGAGAAATAAACACATTATTTGTAGAAATCAATACTCTACTATTATCAGTTAATAAAAATCTATCAGTTCTACTTTCAGTTCTACAAAATGATTGACCAAGAAGTCACATGAAATCCTGAATTACTTTAAAATAACATTTATTTTTATTCATCTCAGAGGCAGAGTAACGGAGGGAAGAAAGAGTGGCAGAGAGAGAAATCTTCCACACGATGGTACATTTCCCAAATGGCCACAACAGCTGGAGTTGTGCTAGGCTGAAGCCAGAAGCCAGGCGCTCCATCAGAGTCTCCCTCAAGGGTAGCAGGGGCCCAAGTGCTTGGACCAACATCCATGCTGCCCTAGGATGGATTGGAAGCAAGCAGCTGGGACTCAAATTGGCTCAAATATGGAATGTGGTATTACAAGTGGTAGCACCACAACACTGTGCCCCTGAATTAAATATTTTTAATGAATGGGCAGACTGAGAAAAGAGTAAAAGAACTTTTCTTCTAGAACACAAATGACAGAAGGTTTCAATATGACAAAAGGAATCAGAATTTCTAAAATAGGCCTTTGGTTGAAAGAATCAATTCACACCTAATAGCCTAAAGCCAGGGTATTAATCACCTAATATAAGAACTCAAACACCACAAGGCTTCTGAAAATAAAAGGTCAAAACAGATACCCGCAGCATAACGCAAGAATCCCAAAACCCAACGAGCTCAGAGGCATGTTTGAGGAACAGAAAAATGCTGATGTGGCGAGAAGAGAACGTGGAAAGAAGAGAGTAGTCCAAGAAAGGAGCTACAGTGTTTCTGATGCGACCAGGAAAGTTTTCTCTGCATGACTGATAAAGGAAGTCAAGTGGAGGGTTAAAACGCTATGGAATTTAGTTTTAACAGCATCACTGGAGCTTCTGTGCTTAAAATAGGAAAGCATTAGCAATGCTCTACAAAGACATATGGGTACTGCGTTATTGAGAAGTAAGATTCTAGATGTATTTTTAAACAAATTGTTATCAGAATCTAGAAACAGCTTCTACAGGGTATGTGAGATAGAAAAAAAGAAACAAAATTTTAATTTTGTCTTGAGAAACTGGAAAAAGAGAGCTGCCATGAATTGAAACAGACTGCAGAGGGACAAGTGAGTAAGAAGAGAAATCAGGAATTCAGTTTTAGAGATATTCAGTCCAAGATGCCTACTGAACATTCAAACAGCAATATGAGGTAGAGATCACAAGAGAAATGAGACCACATATTTAAAGTTAGAAGTCATTAGCATCGACATAGTATTTAAAAGTCATGATTTTGGAGGAGTTTTTTTTATTTGATTTTTATTGGAAAGGCAGATATATAGAGAGGAGGAGAGAGAGAGAAGAAGATCTTCTGTCCGATGATTCACTCCCCAAGCGGCTGCAATAGCCAGAGCTGTGCTGATCCGAAGCCAGGAGCCCGGAGCCTCTTCTGAGTCTCCATGCAGTTACAGGGTCTCCAGGCTTTGGGCCATCCTTGACTGCTTTCCCAGGCAACAAGCAGGGAGCTGAATGGGAAACAGGGCCTCTGGGATTAGAAACAGTGCCCATATGGGATCCGGCATGTGCAAGGCAAGGGACTTTTTCCACTATGCTATTGCCCCAGGCCATTTGGATGAGTTTTGAGAAAGGATTTGCAATCTTCTTTTCGATCACCTGAATGGTAAGTGCATCAGTAATTATTCCTGCAATTATTGTCATATATCTCCCTTTATATGTACATAAATTTTATACACAGAACAGCTTTAGGTCATAATCTATCAAATATATGTGAATATTTCAAGAAGTCTGTGGAAAGTAGCATTAAGAGAGAAGTTTTATTCTGGTGCTAAAAAAGTAACTTGAAATCCATGCCTAATTTTTATCACACCCATTTTTCACAAATACTTTGAAGATCCCTCAAGATTTTTTGTGCCAAAATAAACATCTAAATTCTACTTCTCACTCATCTTTTGAAATGCCCTTATACATCAATTCACAATGTTTATACTCCCTTTGTCCAGGTGTGAAGTTTTTGAAATAGCTCATCCACCTGCATATATTTTAAACATGTTTCATCAGAAATTCTGAACTTGCATTATCCTTATTACTATATATTACAGATAATGAAATGGGAACACAGCTGGTTAGAAAAAAATTATCCCTGTTGAGAATTATATAGCCTGTAGATCACTAATGTGCATCATGTAGAGAAGGGCAATTTCAAAATGAGAAAACTAAAGTGCAAACACTGACCCACCTGACCAAAGTCAGGAAGTCAGCGAGTGGCAAACCAAAGTTCAATCCAAGTTTACGCCAACGCTTCTTCTTACCCAATTGTTTGCCGCATTTCTAATAACTCCAGAGTAACATTACTATAGAAAGCTGATCTCTTACACAGGCTGCTACTAAATTTACAATTTCTTAGAATATTGCCTATATACTAGTCAGAAAAGTTTAAATAAGATGAAGATGAAAAACAGACACTTCAACACTGAGTAAGGAAGATAATTATGTCGAGAATGGAGAAATGACTATTGAGTTAACTGGGCTCTATGTTTCATATTCTGGTTCTAGGTACCACTACCTATAAGCTGCAGAAAAAATTCTGAAGAAAGAAGTTTCAAAACGCTGTTAACACTGAAGAATCTATTCCCCATTCTTCCGTTTCTTCCATTTTGCAGGAAGGAAGCTTTTACAAAGCTTTGTGAATTGGTGTGAACATAGCAGAAAATGTTAGAAGTGACTGGGAGTAGAAAGAAGTGCTTTAATAAAAATACAACTCAATTCAGAAACATTTGGGCAAGATTTAAAGAAAGAAAAAACATGCAATGGTAAAATTAGCATGGAAAAAAGCAATAAATAATGACAATTTTATATGCTATTTTCATCCAAGTAATAGACTGGAAATAAAATAAGTAACTACTTAAGACAAAGCCTGTGGCATTAATGAAAAATAAGAGTAAAGCCAACTGTGGTAATCAAATTATTATAGGACAGAATTATGGCCTGACTAAAGAGTAGGAGTAACAAGTGTTTTTATACTTGGCTTGAATAAAAAAAAGGCATTTCATCATGAAGTATATATTTAGTCACAATTTTTTTCCCTATTTTACCTCAACTCTTAATTCAAAATGATGTAGATAATTTGCATCTGTCATTGAAAGTCAAACATTTTCTTCTTACAGAAAAACAGGTGTTCTCAGGAATGTGTAAGTACAAAAATAGTCATTAGTCAGACTGATAGGAAAGACACCACAATGACAGCTACCTTGTCTAAGTCCAACAGCGATTTACTCATACTTTCTGATCAACATTTTTCCACTGTTATCTGTCTGCTATGCAAGAAAAGGAAGATAAAAAGAATTCCTTCTATGATAGAAATCATATGCCAATGAAAGGCAATAAAGAGCTATGCGAAGATTCAAACACATAGCATGACAATCAAATTTAAAGCATATTAAGGAGTGGGCTTCAGTGGGACAGCTAAGATCCAGCTCGAGATGCCAGCACCCTACATCAGAGCATGCGGGTCTAACCCATGGGCTCTAGTCCTAACCCAATTTTCTGATAACGCACACCCTGGGCGGCAGCTCGTAACAGCTCCAGCGCTTGGGAGACTGGTTAGATTCTAAATGTCAGGTTTTCACCCTAGACCAGCTCTGCTTGGTGTGGGCATTTGGAGTATGAATCAGGGGACAAGAAATCCATTTTGTCATTCTGCCTTTCAATTACATAAATGCAAGATGATTGCTATTTTGTAGCTGACTGTAATAGTCTTCTTCAAATTTTTAGAGTTATGTTCAGGCCACAATAAGCAAAAACAGGCAATGACTCAGCAACAGTGCAGAGTGAGATAACTTAAGAAGGACTCAGCTAGGACCAACCCAACTCCCACAATGGATAAGAAAAATATGGTTATAGTGAACACCTGACACTAACACGGAACACATCTCGTGTGTGCTATCACTACTTACTATTGGAAGATTTGACTGTGACCTATATGATTTTTAGGGACACTAGGAAACTTATGCCTGATTTACTCCAACCTTCACCTCATGTCCTTTCTACCTGTTGATTTTGCTTTGTACTCAATTACTATTCTAAGTCACAACTGTACCAGTGTAAGTTACATCTTGTGTATCCACTTAATAAATCATCAAACCTTGGCGTGCCCTTGGACATTATTTCAGAAAAAATGAAACAAGCTAAGAAGTAATTTTCCCAGGGTTGGTGGTAGAGCCCAGATTTAAGCTTTCACCTATGTGATTGTAAAGTTCATGTGCCTCTTATGCTCCTTTCTGAGGGGTCTCTTTAGGATGCAAATAGATTTAGAAGAATTTGTCAAGAAGAATAATATGCCCCATCTTATGCCATGGACTGGGTATGAAGGTGGCATAGCTAAAGTCACCCAAAGAGTTTCAGCAGGTGTAACATGGAGGAAAACTGAGGAACAAACAGGGCCAAGCGTGAAAAAGAGACCAAGACTGCAGTAAACACAGCAGAGGCTTTGTTCACTACCAGATCAAATGAGAGACGGAACTCCATGTCCAGGCCTCACCATCCTCCCCACAGAGAGTTGCCAGCTCTGCTGTGCTCGTGCCAGCCATTCCCATGTCAGGAATAACGTTAGGCTCAATCTGGGGTAACTGGACTTAGGCAGTAAAGCCCGAGCTTAAGAGTCCAAAAGCTCTATGTTCACTCCTGACTTTGTTGCTTCCTGGTTGCACAACCTTAGGCAACTTCTTAACAGTTTCCAAATTCATACTCTTGAGAATAAAACTTGGAAGTCTGCTTTGAGGAGTACATACGAATAATGTATATTAGGCAAATAATAAAGTCTGGCATAAGCACTTGCTTCTCCATTATGACTCTGATGGCATAATCCTAACCCCCTCCCTCATGATCTGAAATGGTGACGATTTCTTCCAGTAAAGGGTGAAAAACAGACTTGGGCTTTTCCCAACAATGCCTCAATGGGATTAATGGGAAACAATGCA